TGCTTTATTACACTAATATTATAAGAGTAAATTTATATTTTTTTACCTTCATTTTCTGATACGTTTTTTTCTAGTAGGCCTAGAGCTTATTTGCTTTGATAAACATAGATTTATTTGTAATTACTACCATCTAGTGGCTGTTCCTCAAATTGCAACTTACTGTATTTTCCATGCCACTTGAATGATCTTGTAGCTACTGTTGGTAAAAAGTAGATTTTCTTTAATGTGATTTAGAACTTAAAGCATTTCAGGTTATATAACTTGTGCAAATAAAACTACAGTGAATATCAATAAGAATATTTCAGTTAAGACCTTTTGTTGGTTTGATTCTTGCCTTCTTTGTTTTCAACACCTTAACTCACATAACCCTAAAAAAAAGTTTATACTTAAATTTGGTAACATAATTGCATGTTCTTGTTCAGGAAATGTAAAGGGAGAAGTGTATGTATCTCCTGGTAAGGTTTTTGCTTCTCATAATCCTTTAAAGTGTTACTGCAAAATGTCTCATACACATGCCTAAACTTTCTGATCTTATTTTTAAGAATTTTTTTAAGAAAATGGAATGGAATTCATTTATTTGTCAGTCAGTTAAACATTAGAAATTAAGATTTGGTTCCTTGGATAACTGAAAGTCTGTGGAAATGACCTTGAACTCTAGTGCTTTAAAATGTGGTGGGCTCTATCTGGTTTTGTTTAGAAAACCTTTCTTCCTAGGTTTAGCCATTTGTACCATGTGTGAATCTTAATATCACAATGCTATGGTAATAATCAATCACCATTAATTCCCATTTTAGACTTGAAGGAAACATAAAGAGAAATTAAATTATTTGTAACTTAAAAAGAATTCAAAGAGTGTTTTGAATTTTGATTAGTAAGAAATTGCCAAACTGTCTTGCAAAGTGGCTGTACCATTTTGCATTCCCACCAGCTGTGAATGAGAGTTCCTGTTGCTCTGCATCCTTGCCAGTATTTGGTGTTAACTTTTTTTAAAATTTTTCATTTTAGACATTCTAACAGATGTGTAGAGATATCTCATTGTGTTTTAATTTGCATTTCCCTAACAACGCTGTCGAGCATCTTAATTCAGTAAATTCTTTTGAGCACTTACCATATACAAGTCAAAAAAGTTATAGTTCTTAAAGGGGTTGTCTGGACACTACACATATTGGCAAACAATACATTGATGACTTGTTCTCCATGGAAAGCTGTGTTCTTATATAGCTTTTAGATAGGATTACATATTGTGAGTGAACTCAGAAAAGGAACATCTAAGAATTGTAACTATACCTTAAGAAAACCATAAAATATTTGTGAAGTATTAGATTTTGTTATTTTATTTTACCTTTTTTAAAAAGCCAATTTTGTTGGCTGATTTCTTAGGCCGAACTTCTTGGGTGGGACCACATGAGAGGTAATTGTAACCTGGTTTTTAACTGGTTTAAAAATGTAGTTTCACCCATTGATAAGCTTTCAGGAATTGATTCCTGTGAAGCAAACTGACAAGAAATCAAACTTACCCATCTGTTGATGTACAATATAGTAAATGAGTAATACATCTGCAAAAGGTGTAAGCTACAGTCTATAAAGAAGGTTAATTGGCATAGAGTTTAAAGAAAGGGAAATGCTATTTCCATTGAGCAATGAAGTATAGTTAATGTAACGTCTGTGTTAATTTCTTTCCAAACTGTGGTCTTTAAATGAACTGTTTCTGTTGTTTTTAGTGGCATTTATTTTCAACTGGCTTGGATTTTGTTTATCCTTCTGTATCACCAATACCATAGCGGGAAGGTATGGTGCTATCTGTGGATTTGGCCTTTCACTGATCAAATGGATCCTTATTGTCAGGGTGAGTGTCTTGATAGCCTGTATCTCTTTTATCTCTAAAATGAAAAGGTATGAAATTTTCTGTGTGGTTCATAAACGCTCATTTTATGCACATAGATTCAATTATTTTAAGGTTATTCTTAATTTCTATACTTATTGTGGTAATCTCTATGGTGTGAACATTTTATAACTTTATGAGAGATTGTTAATATATTGGAAAGAACTTTGAAATCAGAAAAATTTAAGTTTGAATCTCATCTTTTTTTATGTCTGTGTTTTAACTTTAAGTAATTTAATTGTTCTGAGCATTAGTTTCTTCATAATAGGCTGATGATTAATGGCTGCCTTGCAGGATTTTTATTGGTATGGAAATGATATAATTAAAGTACTTTGCCCAATTGCTGCATAAATATATATGCTCAGTAAATAATGGCTATTATTATTGTGATATGGTACAGTGTGGTTAAAATCAGTTAAAATATAAACATTTCTATATTTTAGTAAAATTATCATGGACCTAAGTATCTTTTTACTTTTTTGTCACATTGAAAGCTCAGAAGTAAAGTGAAGGCCTGTGAAAGTGACTGTCAGAACTCATCTTTTGTCCCTTGTGTTTCTTTTAATCCTTTCTTCTCATTTTTCCTATTGTCCCCTGAAGTCACCCTCTCTACTTCTTACTTACAAGATGGTGTGTAGGGAGTCTCAAAGATAAGTCCTTTTCTTTTCCCCATCTCAATAACTTTTCTAGTCCCCAAAATGCATAGGCATTAGTATGGTTAGCATAAACTGCCCCCAGCTCTTTACCTTGGCCTTTCAAAGGCCGCCTTTAGCTTTTCTTTACAAATGTTTCTTCCTAGTTTTTTTAGGATAAAGCCTAGGAGAATGAATGCTTATTTTTTATTTTTTGTAGAGATGGGGACTCTCTGTGTTTCCCAGGCTGGTCTCAAACTCCTGGCCTCAAGTAATCCTCCTGCCTCAGCCTCCTAAAGTGCTAGCGTTACAGGCATGAGCCACCGCACCTGGCTTTTTTCATTATTTTTATACTTGTAGCTTCCTGGGGTTTCAGTAATCTTAACAGACAGACCCTGTCTTGGTTCAGACCAGATTACAGGTTTTATTATTAATTAGTTGATTCTTGGTTGGGACCTGTGGACTGGTTTCTCCTAAGATGATTAAAATCTGGGACATTGTAAGAACTGTCCTCTGGCAGATTCTTGTTTTAATTTTATTTCAAAGGTATATAGTGGGTTCCTACCATGGGCATAAACCCATTAGGTGTTAGGGAGCATACAATTATAAAGACACAATCCCTGCCCTTGCAGCAGTTATTACTGGAAAACCTCAAAAGAGTTGGTGCTAGATATATGTCCAACCTTGGTTATGATACTAATAGAATTAAGTACTATTATTCAAATAGGATTTCTCATTTAAATCACAGAACACAGAAAATAATTTGAAGACTATTTTTTTTAATTCTCCTAAAGTTGGTAAATTACTAGATCCATAAGAAAGAAGTTAATGCATTATATACAACCTATGCCTTTAGGATATTAGAGCCTAATTCTCTCATAGAACCCCAGGTTGAGAAAAGTGTTAATGTGATAAGATGGGGAACTTAAATTCAAAGACTACAGTTTCTCAGTTTTGTAGGGTATATACCAGCATCAAGTTTGATCACCAGAACTGTTTAGTTTCCCTTCAAATACCTTTACTGAGTTAAGGATAATGTTATACCCCTTTAGTGAATATTGAGAATTGACATAAAAAAAGGATTTTAAAAAATCTTTTGTAGAAAATAATAATAGCTGCCCATTCATTGAACACTTAGTGTGTTCTAGGCATAATTTGTTACAAACACCAAATTTTTTAACCTTATCTGTTTCTCTGATGCTGGTGATGATCCGGTCATTTTATTGGTAATGAAACTAAAAGCATCTAAAAACTTGCTCTCAGGGTCCCACAGTTTTTATGTAGATTAGAATTGAGCTTGGTCTCTGTTCTGTGCCTGTTCTCCTGATTCTGCACTGCCTCTGTGACACTGTACTTTGACTTTTCCTATAACGCTCCAAGCAATAAATTCCTCTTGCAGTTTACTGCTGAGAGAAAGGTTTTCTCCTAAAAGCCTGGTGTTTCCTTTCATTAGACAATAAGTAATTTATAAATCATACTGCTGCTTTCTTTGTGTTTCTGTGCTGCCACGAACCTCAGATTTTTAGCCCAGGATTCTGATATTACTTCTAAGGTTTTTGATGTTTTTATTGTTTATTTAAAAATGCCTATGTGTTTTATTAATATTAAAAACTAACAAGTTTTTTTTAAAGTAGGATATAGACAATATTGGTGTTATATTAATAAAATAAAATCAGATAAATTCTTAATGTTGGTCAATTTATATTCCAAAATTTGATTTCTGCGTTGGCCAATCAACGTGATTGGTTTATTTATTTGAAAAAACAACAATGTGGCTCAACCTGTGATGTGTTAGTATTTTAGAACATTTTTGATAGCTCATTAATGAGTCCAAAAGCTTATTTCTTTATCCTTTTTACATAGTGAGTCTTTCTCTTTGACTTCAAGGTGAAGGTAATTGTATTCTTTCCTTGGTAGTAAATAAGAAATAGCTTTATGGTAAATATTTTTGGTGAAGAATGACTCTGTTCTTGATTTTCTAGTTGCCCTTAGTGAGCATCATATACAGAAAGTTAAAAATATTGCTTTGGTTTTTTATTCTTTTTTGTCTTACAGCCTCTAAAACGTATATGAAAACTTTTTATTTCTAATTATTAATCACTTGATTTAAAAGTAGTATAGTATATTCCTACTTTATAAGCTGTATTTTTCCAATTTTCAAATTTTCCCTTCATTGTACATATTTTAAAGGTGCAGGAGTATGTGGGATTTGCATCTTTTAATATTACTTTGAAATTTTAAATCTTTGAAATTTCTAAAACTATAAGGTGATTTAGATCATGTATTATTTATTAATTGAAAATACTTCCTGAAAAAAATACTTAAAAGGCTTAACTGTTATTTAACAGTTAAATAATCTTTAGTTGATGTGCTTCCTAAATGGTGACATTATTTACAATTTGTAAACGTTTTATTATCAAATTTATAGGATTTTTTTTTAATGTGTTAATTCCTTTTTATTGCTTCAGTTGAAGAAACATCTGCTTTTACCTGATCTAAACATATTTCATAGAAATGTAAACTAGTAACAAAATGCAATTTGACTGATTTCATAGCTGCAGATGACTTAAATTTTTTTTTTTTTTTTGAGACAGAGTCTCGCTCTGTTGCCTGGGCTAGAGTGCCATGGCATCAGCCTAGCAAAATTTATAGGATTTTTAAGCTTTTATGGAAATTACAACAAATAGTTGGAAATAAATTACCTATAAAGGTGGAAATTCAGATTTGAGAGCAAATCTGCATTTAACACTATCATTTTTAGTTAATTCAAATTCAGTTTCCAGACCATTGGAAAAAGGGTAGGTAAACTCAAGCTAATTTTTAGTAGTTTTAGAGTAGGTTATATTAAATACTTTAAAAAAGTAATTATTTGGGGCATTGTTTAAGTACTAAAGGGCAATAGAGAAGAATTATGTGAAGTAATTGAATTAGAATGTTTTTTTAAACCTTTTTAAATCAATGAAGTTTGATGTTTAGAATCTAATCAAGGAAAAGATACCTGTGTCCGGTATCACCAAAGCCTGCCTTCCATCTGCCTGTTCATATTCCCACATCACAGAGAATATAAAACTGTCTGCCATGGCCACTAATAGGAACTGTTGAAATGCCACTTCAAGGTTCATTTAGCTGTTCTCAGCTCACTGTTGGGAACTGAAGGCTAGAGCATCTAGTTTGAAAATAAAAAGACTCTAATGAGTTGGGGGTCTTTATGTGCCTGGTATTTTTGGCAGTGATTAACAGTAGGGGATGTACAGAAGGTCAAAAACTCTTCTTTTTAGAGGTCAGTAGAACATCCCCATCTGATAAGATTAAACTAATGTGGCTTTTGGTGTTAATATCTAAAGCAGCGGGTTGCCTTAGCGTGTTTGGGATAGTAGTTGTGGCTTTGAGAGTATCAAAAAAGGACTGACATGTGAACTCTTTAATGAGAAAATGTGTGATTCAGATAATGCAGGTGTATAGCATTTACTTTTCTTTCTTGCAGGCAGTTTGAAATTGTTTTTTGTTTCTAAAATATTTTGTATAAGTTTGTTTGCTATTTCATAAGAAATTTTTCTCAAATAATTATATATATGTATGTTGTTAATGTATGTCACCAAGTATTTTTATTTTTCCTTTTGTGCTGTTTTTAAGTGTTAAAGATTATTTGAACTAAATAGTTATGAAACTAAAAGATGATCCAAAATTTTCAAATTTTGGTCTACAAATGTGGTTAATATATTTATGTTCATTCCATAGTTTTCTGATTATTTTACTGGATATTTCAATGGACAGTATTGGCTTTGGTGGATATTTCTTGTACTTGGTAAGTTACTCTTAGTGCATTTCAGTTTAACTAATTTGTATTTAGTTTAACTTCAATTTCCTAAAATTGTAAGATGTAAAATTATGTTACAACTTATATGGAAATAATTTTTCTACTGTGAAAATTCTCATATCCAAACACTTACATCATCTCAGCTTTTCAAATATTCTATATAGCACTCCAGATTCCTTAGATTTAAAATCTATAGGCTGTCAATGTAAAGAATCAGTCATTAAATTGAATGATAATTGAATGTTACAAAATTTTAAAATCCCAACATGATTAACAAAAAATTGTCTTCAGCATTCATCTTAGAAATATACATGCATAGTTTCTTTTAATGATCTTAGAAAGTTTGAAAGCAGGATAGTTTGGTTGTTCTATCCTTTCTTGTATTTTTGGTTCATGAAAACATTCTTCATGCTTTTGAAATGTGCCCTGCGTTAATCATTAATCAGCCAGGCATAAGGAAAGGATTCATGCCTAATGATCACAGTACTTTTGTTGAGTTGTCTTCTTATAAGGTATGTCTTTTTATTAATATTGATGGAATTTTATCGATTTTTAAGTTTTGTTCCCTTGTGTTTTTCACTTTAGACATGTGATAATTAAGTTAATCTTAAAATCACATTATACCTTTCATCCACATTTCAAATATATTTACTAACATGAAGAATACACTTTGTTTCTACTTAGGTTTAAAAGCCCACATTTCTCTAAGAATTGCACCAGAAAATAATAGCATTTCAGTAGGTGGCAGTCTTCTCTTTGAGTTTTTATTTAGTCATGCTATCAGATCTTTGGGATCTTTTGGGAAACAAATTCTTAGTGGTCAGTTAAGGTCACTAAATTCTTTTTCTAATAATTATAGTGAAATTATTTTAGTGTTGTGACTTTGTTGGGGAGTCTGACTCATATAAGGGGTTAAGCCAATTCTATATTGTTAACTCTGTTCTGACTGACTGTATTCTGTGTTCTTTATTGAGTTTCTTACCTAAAACGGAAAAAACTTATGAAGTCTATCAAGTATTTAAGCATATCAAACAAATATGTTTTTATATATATTATTTAGAGATTGGAGGACTCTTAGGAAGGTAACTGAGGGGCAGAGTAGAATGCAGAGGACAATCCCAGTTCCACATTCAGAGCCATAGTCTAGCACTTATTTAGGGGAATGTGAAAATTTAATCAGTGATAAAAACGTTGCTCTCACATACACTAAAAAGAATATTGAGCACTTTGTAGAATGCTGAGAAACGAAAGTCACCGAGTGATTGGTTTTTAGATATGAATTGGCTTATTTTAGAAAATGCCTGAGAAGAAACAAAATGTATCTTAGAAACAGCAGCTTCATAGACAAAAGAAGGGATCTCACAAATAATTTTAGTTTACATTTTTCAATAATATTTTTACATTTAGATAACGATTCAGTATCTTTGAACAGCATCTGGTGGAAGGGCATGAGGGTGGAATTCAGAGAAAGGGAGTCCCCAATGGAGGGAGTTAGTTAGGATATGGGAAGCAGATGGGATTGGATTTAGTTGAAATTTATACCACTTGTTTAAATCATCATTTGTCTATCTCTTCTGTCTTTCCTCTTCGGTTTATTACAAACATGCTTCTTTTTTATTGCTTTGAATACTGTCTTGGAGTTGGGATACAAATTTAGTTTGGGGCTTCTTTATTTTAAATTCACAGACTCTTTTCCTCCTGGTGAGAAAAATTACACACATACAGTACATGTTTGTGTTTTTGCACCCCCCCCATTTCCTGGTTAAAAATTTACTGGAGTTAATAAATGTTTCCCTAAGAATTAGATGCTTAAATATTTCAAAGGCTTATACTAATAATGGTAACGTTTTTATATTTATCTAATATTTTTCATCTGAAACATTAAAGCATTACACAGGCATTGCTTTTTTAATTATTAAAGATAGCTGTGATTATTATTTTAAAATAATATTTTACAGAAGAGAAAACTGAGATAGATATAAAGTGTATTGCAAATAATCTAAGAAATCACTAGAATGACTGCCTTCCCAAGTCGTCTTTCCTGACTCTTCTTATCTAATTTTTTTTTACCCCAAGCTAGTCCTTTTCTCACTTACCATAATTTTTATTATAAATTAGGCTTTTATTATTGCTTGAAAATAAGAACTCATAATTAAAAATATGTACATAATGCACATATCATCAAGTACAGATTTCACTGGATGACAAGTACTTGATGTTGCTATTATAGATAAGCTTACTGGTTTTTGCCCACAATTATTGGCAACTACACACATATATTCTCTCTTTATTTACTTTATGTAACATATATGTCTTAGTTTGCTTAGTGGTTATATTAATTGGAAAGTTTAGTACAGTATAAATGGGATTTCTGAGAGGTCAATTGGTTTAAATGCATCAGGTAACTTTGCTGTTTAAAGAAATCTTAACAAATGTATGTTTTTATGTAATTCTGGATTTTCATAGCTGGATTTGCTTTACCTTAATTTGGGTACATTTAGGACTAACAAATTGAAAGAATGTGGGCAGCAATAAAATTTTATTGTATTTCCTCATGACGGAGTTATCATTATAGTGTAAAATATGGAATATGTGGAATCCTGCAGATTAAATTCCTTTTCTTAAGCCAAGAGGATCTTAGTTATAATTGTCGATTTTGAATTTATCATGACCCATTTCTGTGTAAGAACATAATATACCTGTATTATTTCAACCTTCTCAGGCCTGCTCCTTTTCTTCAGAGGATTTGTTAATTATCTAAAAGTCAGAAACATGTCTGAAAGTATGGCAGCTGCTCATAGAACAAGATATTTCTTCTTGTTATAGAGGTAAGAAATACTAATATATTAGCTCTGTTTATTCTCTTTATGCATTCAAATTTACCAGATACATATTAAACGCTCAAGGAATACTCATGATTTTTACTCAAAATTAGCATATTTAATATTTTATACTATTAATAGCTTACTGAAATTTAATAAGTTATAGATCTTTTTAGACAACTTTTACATTTCTAAAATTGAATTTCATAAATTTTAATTTTTTAAATATAGAATGAATACTTCTACTAGAATAAATACTATAACTTTAAATCAGACTTTTTAAACTTTTTTTAAAGATTGATCACAGGAGACGTACGAAGAAACCACCAGCACAAAAGTTGAAGGCTTGGAAAAGCAAACATGACAAAGTACTTACACAGAAGGGATTGGCATTTTGCATAAAACAGTGTGAAATCCACATAAGCATCTGATGAAAAAAACAAAAAATAAATCTATGATTGAAAAACAATTTGTCATGCAGTCATTTTAGCAATCTGGATCAAGGAATAAAAGTTGTGTGAAGAAAATAGGAGCTTTGTTACTGTTTTCTTAATATGTCAGTGTGTGTCAACAATGAAAACTACAACTTGAATAAAGGGAATATAAAGAAATGAGCAGGGGATGCCTCACTAGTTACTAAGTGAGTTTCTGGAGGCATTGTATGTAGTAGTAGCATTTATTTATTGTGCAGCCAGGAGAATCTGTACATAAAGAGACAATATCTTTATACCCTATCCTATATTTTATTTTTATTTTTCTATCCTGTTTTTTAAAGTATGTACCATATACTTCATATCTACAAATAATTTAAACTTTAAAAGTATTTGAACTCCATAAGCAAAATGTCTACGAAAATACTTCTGAATGTAGAACTACAAGGACAAAGTGTTTCAGGGTTACTATAACTAAGTATTCTTTTTTATAAACAAATTGTATGGTTTGTGATTTGGTTGCTTAAATTTTATTTATAATTTATGAGTTATACATAAGCTTATTTACTTATGTCCACTGAAGAGTACAATGAATATAGTTGTATTTCTGGATCATATTAAAATATCATTTTAAATGTTCCATTTAAGGTACCTACCCCTGAAGATGTCACATTTTCTTTTTAACAAGTAAAATGTCTGTAAACAATGGCATTAAGAGTTTGTCAGCATTAAAGATAAGAAAAAAGACAAAATAATTTTACTAATTTGAATGGTATTCTGTGAGTAGTGTGATCATCTTACATGCATTTTGAAGAGTCTAAAATATAATGTAAATATGCTCTAGATGAAGGTATCCTAAAGCTTTACACTTTAGAATATATTCTGATTTATATACTACTTTATGTTATCTTTATCAAAAGAACAGTATATACTTATGTAATACTGCTATAAAATGGATTTTTATTATACTATGGTTTAGATAAGTGCAACTTAATACATTTTAAGACTAATTATTTCTTTGTCCCTAGACTGCAGCAACCCCAACATTCCTTTCTTATGCCAATGTGAAATTTCCAGATCATCTGTAAACCTACAACTTTAATAGGATAGAAGACTACTAATAACAGAAGACAAATTAGTGAAGAAAAGATAGAGCTTCAAAATTGAATAGCAGGGTGGTTTATACTTAAAAGCCATTTCTGTTCATTCTTTACCTATCTATATTTCGTTTGTTTTGCACATATGCGTATGTGCCCATTTAAAAGATTTGCATACACTTGAAAGAAACCTTAAAGTTGTAGCAGTAAAGTCCAGTCACATGTGGTCAATCAGTGTTTGATATAATTGAAAGAGTTGAGTGGTAAACAGTCTTCCAGCATGTAAATGCCATAGACTTCTGACCTGACATTTAGTATAATAAAAATGAAATTATTAACTGTGTCAAATGCTTTACTTTCTGGGTTTTAGGTTCATCTGGTAATTCTATACATGAAACATCCTTTGTTATATATAAAGTATATTGAAACCTGCAGTGCTGATTATCGAAAGGATTTGTCAGGTTTTTGCACATGATATTACATTATTATTTAGGAAAACTCTTCCTGTAAATAACCATGCATAAAGTACTTTCTGCATTCTTTTCTTAGAAATTGTGTCTAGATATCTTTTCATTAATTTTAAATTAAGTGAACTAAATATATATATAGAAAATTTGAGTGTTAAAGATAGAATTTGTTTTTAAGACAAATGTTAAGAAAATGTGGGTATAATGTCCTTTATAAGAAAAAAAAGTTTTTTAAGGGACATACTAATTTTAGAGATTTTCACATAAGAAGCTTGGTTTTTAGGATTGCCCATCTTAGAGATTCTTGCAGGAAGAGGTTGTATTAGATATTGTATTTATTTCATTTAAGATAATTTTGAAAATTAATTTTCAAATATTCTCATTTGCATTTGTCTTTTAAAAAGCCAATAAAAGTATCTTTCAATATCATTGTAATAATTTGTTCTTTAGATGTTTAATTTGTTAAGCTTAGCAAATAAAATTTTGTGCTATTAATAGCTTCTGGTTTTTATGATTATAGATTAACTTGTAAAAAACATATCCTAAATTGAGATATGTGAAACACCCATTTTCAAGGTATGGAAATGTGTCTGGGGAATCTAGGGGTGTGGGTGTGTGTGTGATGAGAGTGCGTCAACATTATTACAACTGGAACCTAATCTACATTCATAAGCTGCTATATTTCACATCTTGCAAATCATTTTATGTCTCATCTGTTTTTCTTTTCAGTTATATCTTTGCTTTTGAGTACCAACATTAAAAATTATGGTATATCATCTTTTAAACCTAAAAATTATTTAATACAACTATATAGAATATATAAAATTGATTACTTATTTATTATTACACACTACTACTAAAAGATACATTTAATTATTCAGGGACATTTTTCCATTGCTGAAAAAATAAAATTTATTATGCTTTATAACTTCTTTTGTATTTCTCTGTATTTTCTAATTTTTTTCATTGTCTGCGGTAAATGAAACATACAGTTTTGTTTTGCTAATTAAGCCTCCTATTTTTTGTTTTCCCTCATTTAGTTTACTCCCTTGTATAGAATTTTTATTGTCAGTTAAAGTACCTGTGTTACACCCCTTGAAGTAAAACAATAGTATGGGGTAAAGAAAACAAAATATTTAATTTAGTTGCCTAATTTGGAAATTAATTAAAATTAGAATGTACTAATAACATATGCAAACTCAAACTCATGCTGGATAATTAATTTTCTGTTATTTGTGGGGTTTTTTTGTTTGTTTGTTTTGTTTTTTTGAGACAGAGTCTCGGTTGCCATGAGTAGAGTGCCATGGGCGTCAACCTCAAACGCCTGGGCTCAAGCAATCCTCCTGCCTCAGCCTCTCGAGTAGCTGGAGCTACAGACCTTGCCACCACGCCTGGCTAATTTTTCTATTTTTAGTAGAGACGGGTTTCTCATTCTTGCTCAGGCTGGTCTGGAACTCCTGAGCTCAAGCAATCCTCCTGCCTTGCCTCCCAGAGTGCTAGGATTACAGGTGTGAGCCACTGCACCTGGCCTGGATAATTAATTTTCTATAGACCTATATTTTGTTCTGTCAATAATTTTTAAATGAAATTAAGCTTTCATACATGATAATTTTAGAAAACTCAGCTATCAAACATCAAATTATTAAAATTTCATTTTAGTTTTTGTGGTATTTATACTTGGTTTCTGAATATGAATGTGTTACTTTTGATCTAACAGCAAAACTTCACTTTTTGTTTTGATTTTTTCCCCCAAATCTGTAAGGTTCAAGTATACATGTTACTTAATCTTCTGTAATTGGTATAATTTAATGGTAGCCTTAAATCTCATTATCTAAGCAGGGTAATCAAAGTGTTATTTTCAAAAACTTAACATTCCCTTCCAGATTTTTCAAATTCTGCATACTTCCCTTCATTTCCTGTGAGCTTGAACAGCTGTTGTTGTCTTTTGGGGACACTTGACCACCACTGCGCTCTTGCCTTAATGATTGAAAATTAAAACCCTTGTTAGGGTGTGTAAACATTTTTGAATGAACATGAACTGGGATTTGGAAGTTACTGCAAAAATTTCTTAAATTACTTCTATTATATTTGAGTAAGTTATAGCTAGAATAATCCATTTTTATATATTCAGTAAACTTAAGGAAAAATACGTTTTTCTATGTAGTATATTCAAGATGGATTTTAGAAATTTATAGTTAAAATACAAATCTCATACTCAGTTAAAATGAAAATCTCTGCTTAATAGAAAAAATATTAATCTCTAATCTATTATTTTGAGTCTATAAGGTATATCCCATTTTAGACATGGCTTTGAAGTTGTTCATAGACTTTTAACCTGTTATAATAATAATCACTAATATTTCCAGTAAAACTTCTCATAATAGGAAGAGTGGAATCCAGAATATCCAATTGTAGAAAAATTCAGAGTTCCTTAATTTGATATAATTTTTTTTCAACTGGTATGTACGTTTTCAAAAAGCACGAAAGTACTGATAGTGAATGTGTTATTGTACTTAACTAAAGTGACATATGTCCTGAATTTGCTCATAACAGTCCTGATTATTCCTGTTTTCCCAGCTTAATTAAATAATGCTTCCTTTCACCCTGAAAAGTGTCCTGATTTGGGGGATAAGTTATATGATCACCCTGTATATAATTGTACACTGTGCTGAGCAGTGACTACCTTAACCCCACTGTCCTTTGAGAGATGGAACTGGGGTAAGGGCAGGAGCTGATTATTGTTGTCACAGCCTTTTCTAACCAACTTTACAAATGTTTGGCCTGTAAAAGAGGCATACTATGTTTTTTAAAAATGGAAGTTATATTTAAATGATTCCAGCTAATGGTAAATAGTAAACAATGAATGGCTTTTATAATTTTTAAATGCTGTTAAATTTTAATTGTTTATTAGTTACTAAATTCTTCAAATAGTCATGAAATATATTATTAAAAACTTCATTCTGGATAAAGTTCCAACTGTTAGATGATAATGTGCCATTCATTATATAGGAATGTCCTTGCCATATATGAAATATGCTGGCATGTATTTTACTTGTTAATAAAGTTGTATAGATGTGGAAACACGAACCTGTGATGCATCCTTTTGAAAACTGGTTTAAGATTCACTATATAGTATCACTACCTTGGCCTCACGAAAATGTTTCTATGGCAGACCTTTCAAGATATCAGATGATAACAACTCTGTCGTGGAATTAGGTTGGAGTTGTAACATCATTTAACTTGTCAGTTAGTGTAGGTTATAACATAGACTGCAGTTTGATCTTAATAAATGCAAAAATATCAGCTTTTTGAAAATAATTTACGTTCATTTCTGCTTTGTAAAACATCAATGGTCACTATAGGTCAGATCTGCTTATGAGCATGTATTCTTATTTGGAACATAAGACCTAAAGTGCAAAAATTTCCTTCAAGTTATTAAGAAAAAAAGAAAGCAAGAAAAACTCATTTCATACTTTTTAAAAAATTAAAAAAATGTTTATTTTGAACTCAGCATATTTGCTTGTTTTACTCTCTTGATGTTTTCAGCTTAGATTTTTTTTGTTTTTGTTTTGAGAGGTTGAGCTACCTGCTTCTAAAAAACAACCTGATTTCAATGAAAACTATATATATATATATATATATATATTTTTTTTTTTTTTTTTTTTTTTTTTTTAAGAAAACCCTAAATCCTATAACTAAATAAAGAAGAGATGGGCTAT